CCCCCATGTGCTGGAAAGCGACAGTGAGTTACTCGTGTCTTCACACCTGAATGCAGGGGCGGACTGACCATTTGGGAACTCGGGCACTGCCCAAGGGCCCAGGGTCAGTAGGGGGCCCCATGAGATGCCCCTGGTACCTTTCATAGGTTTTTTCGCATGTGGTTTAAGTGTGGGCGAGGACACAGGGGCCCCATGATCCCCCATTGCCCGGGGGCCCCATGAGTTGTCAGTCTGCCCCTGCGTGAACGGAACCATTTTTGGGCATTTTTGTTTGGGAGTTTTTGGATGTTTTTTAAAGTATATTACAAGCTCTTTAGAAGTGTGAGAATTCCCGGAAAACAAAGCTTGCTTACCTATACTCTAGTGACCTTCAGAATAGTCCCCTCGTGAAGCGACACACTTTTCTACATGACTGTGCTCCTGCTGGAAACATTCCTGGAATTCGTTTTTTCCGGAACGCTGCCCAGTATCATTGTCGCGTTGCACTGGATGTCTGAAATGTCATCAAATCTGTATCTTTTTAAGGCACTTTTTAATTTTTTTTTTGGAAACAGCCAAAAGTTTCAGGGCGCTAAGTCAGGGGAATGAGGTGGTTGATCAAGTTTCAAGGTGGATTTCTGGGCCAAGAATACACTTAATGCATCGTGTGCAGGAGCATTGTCATGGTGCTCAGTCTATTTGTCAGGCCCGAGTTACGGTCTTTCCCTCCGAATAGATTCCCGTAATCTTTTCAGAATTTCCAAGTAACAATTTTGGTTGATCGTTCTTGCGCCATTGTGGACATCTTCCCACCCCTCCCTACACCGCCTATGCCATTTAAATGCACGGATTGTTCAGCATAAGCCTGTTGTAACAAAACTAAAGTTTCACTCGCACAAATGCGCAAAATTAGATTTTAATCCGCTGCTCCTGATTCTTGTCATTCATTTTCCTCCAACAGCGCAAACGCACACACGGTCAAGGGGCCTAATAGGGGCAACTGAAATGAATGGGTTTTGTTTTATTGAGCGGTTTACAGTTTCAAGCAGAAAATAGCTCAGGTGTGAATGCCCACATGGAAGAAAAATATATTTTAAATATATTTTTAAAATACATTTTTAATATATTCTTCCCAAATATATTGACATATAGTTCAAATACTACAATTTTGGCAATAATCAATATATTTAAAAAAAATATATTTCGATATATTTGTGAATATATTATTAAAAATATATTCAGAACACACACTGCGATATATATCAAAGTGTAATGTGGAATTCATTTACAAGTATATTTAAAAAATCTATGTTTAAATGCATTTTTTTAGATGTTCAAAAATATCTGGAATATTTTTAAATATATGCCTTTGGAAAATATATTTTTAAATATATGCCTTTGAAAATTGATTTTGAAAAATATATTTTTAAATATATGCCTTTTGGAAAATATATTTTCAAATATATGCCTTTGAAATTGATTTTGAAAAATATATAATTTTTAAATATATGCCTTTGAAAATTGATTTTGAAAAATATATAATTTTTAAATATTTTTGGAAAATATATTTTTAACCCCTTCCCGCCAGCGCCTCCCGGCCCTTTAAGAGTTTCAGATGCTGGGAGGCGGGGTGGGGGGTGGGGTGGGTTTAGGGATCATGTGACCGCTGTGACGCGTCGTCACGGAGGTCACATGATCAGGTTACATGAACGCAAATGTGTGGTCACTCGGCGTCTAGGCCCAGGCGCCGGGAGGCCGCACATTTGTGTGCGGCCGGCGTAAAGGGATTAAATATGTGCCTTTGAAAATGGATTTTGAAAAATATATTTTTAAATATATGCCTTTGGAAAATATATTTTATTTTCCATTTTTGGAATACGTGTTACAATATATTCGTTCGTGTAGTCCAATATATTGTAAATATATGTCGCCTGTATATATATTTTTTTTTCTAAATATATTGATAATATATTTCTCTTCCATATGGGTGGGGCTTTATCCTCTTCTGCTGATCAATCCCGAAAGCGAACCGGCACACCAGGGCGCCCGTCAGTCTCAATTGTCTCAATTTTCTTGTGTTTTCAGCTGTTTCCCTGGATGTGGATGTGAATCGGATCGGCTTTGTGAGCCGAGGAATGAAAAACAAGGTAATGAAGTTGAAAATTCTGCTCCGTGCGTGTCCTGCGTCTTCCGGAAACGGAACAGCTATGGGGTTCTATACTGATACTATTATGCGCACTTCAAGGCTGGGAGACAACGTGTGCCGTCAACACAAGGGCAGGCAATTATCGGGAGGGGGGGGGGGCTCTGAGGACAGATTGTCAGCCCCCCCAGCCAAAATAAAGCCAAACAAAATCAGAAAAAAACCCTAAACCAGGGGCGGACTGACCATTTGGAAACTCGGGCACTGCCCGAGGGCCCAGGGTCAGTAGGGGGCCCCATGAGATGCCCCTGGTACCTTTTTTATAGACTTTTTTGAGTTTGGGCGAGGACACAGGGGCCCAATGATCCTCTATTTCCCGGGGGCCCCATGAGTTGTCAGTCTGCCCCTGCTCTAAACCTGCCATAAGCAAATTAGCATATAATCAGGGGCGGATTGACAACTCATGGGGCCCCCGGGCAATAGGGGATCATGGGGCCCGTGTGTCCTCGCCCAAACTCAAAAAAGCCTATGAAAAAGGTACCAGGGGCATCTCATGGGGCCCCCTACTGACCCTGGGCCCTCGTGCAGTGCCCAAGTTTCCAAATGGTCAGTCCGCCTCTGCACATAATCATTACCTATCAGATTTGGCAAGAGCCCAGTCATAGCCGGTTCGGTTCCGTAACCCAAGCGTGAAAATTCCCAACACTGATAATACAAAATGGCGGAACTGAGAAACACAAATCCAAATGGAACAATTAACGGACATAGAAAATATAACTTTGTTTCGCTCATCTCCAGGACACGTGGACTTGGGGGCCCAGTGGGAGAGGAGCCATCCTGCTGGTGAACTGTGACCGTGACCGAAACAGCTCCGGGGTGCCAGACAACGAAGACAATGAAGGAGCACCCACTGCTGCCGGTACCAACCTTGTTCTCTGTAGATCCATAAATAGGCAGATAAAATTATTTCCTAAAAAAAAAATGTCTGACTTTGTTCTCTTCTGTTGTGTTGGCTCTTCTCTCGGTCAGACGTGAAGGACATGTCCCCAATGTTCTTGACGGCGGAGGGCCCCGATGAGATCTTTGATGACTACAAAGTGATCCTAGAAATAGAGACACGGGACTCCAAAAGACTACGAGTATATCATCAGGAACGTACGTACTGCGGAATCAGGGCCGCGGATAAGGGGGTTCCACCAGTCCTCCTGTATGGGGCAGCTGGGTGAATCAGATGTGGGCAGGGAGGGTGATCGGCACGAGGGGGGGGGGCCCCTCCCACCCAGGTCTCCGAGAGTGGATCCACTGATCCATGAGTAAGCCTGATGCAGACAGTTGATGTAAGGGGGCACTCTGATAGGGACCCTGATTTATAGGGGCAATCTGTTGGGGACAGTTGATGTAAGGGGGCACTCTGATGGAGACTCCGATTTAAGGGGATTTGATGGGGACACCTAATGTAAGGGGGCACTCTGATAGGGACCCTGATATAAGGGGGAAGTCTGATAGGGACCTTGATATAAGGGGGCACTCTGTTGGGGACAGTTGATGTAAGGGGGCACTCTGATGTAGGCTCTGATGTAAGGGGACACTCGGATGGTGATTCTGATGTAAGGGAGCACTTTGATGGGGACACCTAATGTAAGGGGGCACTCTGATGGGTACCCTGATGTAAGGGGGCACTCTGTTGGGGGCAGATGATTAAGAGAGTGCTTTGATGGAAGCATTTTGATGAAGATACCTAATGTAAGGGGCAGGGGCGGACTGACCATTTGGAAACTCGGGCACTGCCCGAGGGCCCGGGGTCAGTAGGGGGCCCCATGAGATGCCCCTGGTACCTTTTTCATAGGCTTTTTTGAGTTTGGGCAAGGACACAGGGGCCCCATGATCCCCTATTGCCCAGGGGCCCCATGAGTTGTCAGTCTGCCCCTGGTAAGGGGGCACTCTGATAGGGACCCTGATGTAAGGGGGCACTCTGATATGAACTATAATGTAAGGGGGCACTCTGTTGGGGACAAATGATGTAAAGGGGCACTCTGATGGAGACCCTGATTTAAGGAAGCACTTTCATGGGGAACATAATGTAAGGGGGGACTCTAAAGTGAAATCTGATGTAAGGGGGAACTCTGTTGGGGACAGATGATGTAAGAGAGAACTCTGATGGAAGCACTCTGATAGGGACCCTGATGTAAGGGGGAAGTCTGATAGGGACCATGATGTAAGGGGGCACTCTGTTGGGGACAATTGATGTAAGGGGACACTCTGATGGAGATTCTGATGTAAGGGGGCACTTTGATGGGGACACGTAATGTAAGGGGGCACTCTGATGGGGACACTGATTTTGACAGTGATTTTGAAGAGGTGCCTGCACTACTTTGGTGAGGCATTTGATGCAATGGTTCCAGAGAATGTAGTTGGATCCAGGGGCGGACTGACCATTCGGCACTCGGACACTGCCCGGGGGCGATTGTGAATGGAGCCCAAGTATTCCATATGGGTTCAGTTGCAGTGAAAGTTTTTAGATACATCGATGATGTAGATTCCGCTTCCCTTGTCACACCAGTCACCATCCTTCATACTGTCACACCGACATATTGTTACTAAAACATTTGGAATTGTAGAAAATTAACTCCATGTGATGCCTTCCCTCCTGGTTTTAGGACTCCAGTTCAAACACGTCCTGGGGATGGGAAAATTGGCATGCGAGGTCCAGCGCAAGAACAGAGATGAGATGAAATTCTACGTGGAGGGGCTCCAGTTCCCGGACGCCGAATTTTCGGGACTCGTTTATATCAAACTTAAATTTCAGAGGATCCGGGATGGGGTGAGTAGTCGGTTATGGATGAGAAAGCAACACGAGGGATCTGAAGCTTTAAAATAGAGGAGTAATGCAGGCCATAGATGGGTCGAAAATCGGCCGATTTTTCGTCCGAAAATAAAATTGGCCGATATTCGGATTGTTTGTTAGTGGGCTATTTGTTCGGCCGTTTTTTTTTTCGGTATTTTGGCAGTTGTTTTTTTTTTATCGGTAAAGTTGGAAAAAAAAAATCGGCCGATTTTCGCGGCAATGATGGGCAAATAGGCCGATTTTCGCGGCAATGATGGGCAAATCGGGCGATTTTCGCGGCAATGATGGGCAAATCGGCCGATTTTCGCGGCAATGATGGGCAAATCGGCTGATTTTTGCGGCAATGATGGGCAAATCGGCGATTTTTTACCGATAAAAAATCTGCGCATGAGCAGTGACCTGCAAGAGGAAGACAAAAAGAAGAAGAAGAAGAGGATGATGATGATGAAGAAGAAGAGGATGAAGAAGAAGAAGAGGATGATGATGATGAAGAGGAAGAAGAAGAGGATGATGATGAAGAAGAAGAGGATGATGATGAAGAAGAAGAAGAGGATGATGATGGTGAAGAAGAAGAAGAGGATGATGATGGTGAAGAAGAAGAAGAAGAAGAAGAGGATGATGATGAAGAAGAAGAGGATGATGATGATGATGAAGAAGAAGAGGATGATGATGAAGAAGAAGAAAAAGAAGAAGTAGGATGAAAAATAAGAGGAATTCCAGTCCAGCAAAAAGTGTCCCTGCAGAGAGCTCTGCTATTTCTTTGACAGTTCCTTGACATTTACAGCGGTTGCAACATTGTATCTATTTGTTTTTGAATAAAAACATCTGTATCCTAAATGGAAACAAATAGATACATTGTTGCAACCGCTGTAAATGTCAAGGAACTGTCAAAGAAATAGCGGAGCTCTCTGCAGGGACACTTTTTGCCGGCTGTAGACGGGATGAAAATCGGCCGATTTTTTTTTTTACCATTGATGGTAACGTCGGCCGCTTGAACGACCGATTTTTCGTTTTTTTTAAAAGCAAAATCGTCCGTTTTTCTCCCCGTCTATGGCCTGCATAAGAATAGATCCTTTGCTACTAGTATGAGGACTGGACAGCCGACTGGATCCACATTGCCCGTGGGGAGACGTTGGCCCTAATCCATCCTTAACTCGGGGCATCTAATGTATTCTACATTGTTTCTATTACAAACCATTATTTAAGCCCTGACAAAGGAAGAGTCCTTTCCCGAAGTGCGTTGGTTGTATCTGATGCTCACACAGCCATGAGTGTTTATCAGTTTTTCTTCTAAATATTGAGGCCAATGGAGGACGTTTTTGGTATGACAACAGATCTAGGAGAGTTGTGAAGAGCTTTTGTAACCCTCATAAGCCACTTAAGAACCACCAAAACCATCTTTAAACTTAAAACCATCCACTCCCCCTGGATAATCGCTGGGTTAATATATATGAAAGAGACTCTAAGTGTCCAAAGTACTCACCTAAACTAGTGGTCATATAAGTCTCGAGTTTTTCTGTCTTCTTCCATGAAGAAGAGGAAGGTCCTTCTTCAGGTGTCCATCAAAGTGGATGGTTCCTATTGATTGTCCAGCGATGAGGTCCTCCAAGGATGATGAATACTGCAGAGATGGTATGACATCCCATAAGAGGTGACCCATCTACCAGATGCTGCCTTCTTCTCGTCAGTAATATGGGGGTTGGGGGTGCTCTGTAGTCCTCCGAGATAGCTGGTAACAATGTGATGGATAAGAGCAGGGATTCTCAACCAGGGTTCCTCCAGAGGTTGCTAGGAGTTCCTCAAGCAATGACCAATGTCTGCCTCTCAGACCATTGATCTTTTTAGCTAACTGTAAGGGGGGAATTGTTCCCAATGACCACCAATGTGAGGAGCATTCTTCCCGCTGACCTTCACACTAAAGTAACACAAGTTCCTTGAGACCAGAAAGGTGTTTCAAAGGTTCCTTTGTGTCAAAAAGGTTGAGAAAGGCTGGATAAGAGTGTAACAGATGCAGGTAATTTTTTTACACTTACCAAACAGATATAACAAAATTATGGTATATTTATAAAAAAAAAGGGATCAAATAAAGGAAATGTATTTTTAGAGTTTGCAGGGTCCGGGGAGAGCGGATATAGTGAATGCGGGGTCCGGGGGAGAGCGGATATAGTGAATGCGGGGTCCGGGGAGAGCGGATATAGTGAATGCGGGGTCCGGGGAGAGCGGATATAGTGAATGCGGGGTCCGGGGAGAGAGCGGATATAGTGTATGCGGGGGTCCGGGGAGAGGATATAGTGAATGCGGGGTCCGGGGAGAGAGCGGATATAGTGAATGCGGGGTCCGGGGAGACCAGATATACTGAATGCGGGGTCCGGGGAGAGCGGATATAGTGAATGCGGGTCCGGGGAGAGCGGAGATATACTGTGAATGCGGGGTCCGGGGAGAGCGGATATAGTGAATGCGGGGTCCGGGGAGAGCGGATATAGTGTATGCGGGGGGTCCGGGGAGACCGGATATAGTGAATGCGGGATCCGGGGAGAGCGGATATAGTGAATGCGGGGTCCGGGGAGAGCGGATATAGTGAATGCGGGGTCCGGGGAGAGCGGATATAGTGAATGCGGGGTCCGGGGAGAGCGGATATAGTGAATGCGGGGTCCGGGGAGAGCGGCTATAGTGAATGCGGGGTCCGGGGAGAGCGGATATAGTGAATGCGGGGTCCGGGGAGAGCGGATATAGTGAATGCGGGGTCCGGGGAGAGCGGATATAGTGAATGCGGGGTCCGGGGAGAGCGGATATAGTGAATGCGGGGTCAGGGGAGAGCGGATATAGTGAATGCGGGGTCCGGGGAGAGCGGATATAGTGAATGCGGGGTCCGGGGAGAGCGGATATAGTGAATGCGGGGTCCGGGGAGAGCGGGTATAGTGAATGCGGGGTCCGGGGTTTAGTAACACTTTAAAGTGAATGCAGAACTACACTGTATCTGAGCACCACAAACCAAAAGCACTTTTTAATCTGTTTAATATTCAGAGCACACTCCCCCATCCATGTCTCTATGCTTTATTTTGCTGAGAAATCACTTAGAAAAGCCCCTCCCCCCCCTAGCATTTTTGGCCACAGCCATCTTGAGTAGGGGCAGGTGACTCCTGTAACATTTACTTTCTGGAATCCATACATTATTCCCCGTCCATAACACCCGCCAATCTCTCCGCATTTACATAATGTGGTATTGATGACTCACGTTCCATTTAATAACCATCAGCCTGTCAGAGTGTTGCATTGTGGGTAATTGCTCACTTGTTGACCGATTATGTTTTGTATGAATATCTCAGGTATTGGGTGAGTCGCCATCTGTTTATAGAACAGGATATGATTCCTGCCAGTGACATAATCGCATCAGATCGCAGCAAGACTGACCACAGGATGATAAGGAGAACACCGATATCAGTTTATAAACCCTGAGTTCAAATCCTCCCTCCGGCCTCCCCTTCAGGCTTGCACAGGTGTACGGCTCCTCCCCTTCAGTCTTGCACAGGTGCACTGGCTCCTCCCCTTTAGTCTTGCACAGGTGTACCGACTCCTCCCCTTCAGTGTTGCACAGGTGTAGCGGCTCCTCCCCTTCAGTCTTGCACAGGTGTAGCGGCTCCTCCCCTTCAGTCTTGCACAGGTGCACTGGCTCCTCCCCCTTTAGTCTTGCACAGGTGTACCGACTCCTCCCCTTCAGTCTTGCACAGGTGTGCCGGCTCCTCCCCTTCAGTCTTGCACAGGTGTGCCGGCTCCTCCCCTTCAGTCTTGCACAGGTGTGCCGGCTCCTCCCCTTCAGTCTTGCACAGGTGTGCCGGCTCCTCCACTTCAGTCTTGCACAGGTGTGCCGGCTCCTCCCCTTCAGTCTTGTACAGGTGTACCGGCTCCTCCCCTTCAGTCTTGTACAGGTGTACCGGCTCCTCCCCTTCAGTCTTGTACAGGTGTACCGGCTCCTCCCCTCCAGTCTTGCACAGGTGTAACCAACTCCTCCCCTCCAGTCTTGCACAGGTGTAGCGGCTCCTCCCCTTCAGTCTTGCACAGGTGTAGCGGCTCCTCCCCTTCAGTCTTGCACAGGTGTAGCGGCTCCTCCCCTTCAGTCTTGCACAGGTGTAGCGGCTCCTCCCCTTCAGTCTTGCACAGGTGTACGGCTCCTCCCCTTCAGTCTTGCACAGGTGCACCGGCTCCTCCCCTTTAGTCTTGCACAGGTGTGCCGACTCCTCCCCTTCAGTCTTGCACAGGTGTGCCGACTCCTCCCCTTCAGTCTTGCACAGGTGTGCCGGCTTCTCCCCTTCAGTCTTGCACAGGTGTGCCGGCTCCTCCCCTTCAGTCTTGCACAGGTGTGCCGGCTCCTCCACTTCAGTCTTGCACAGGTGTGCCGGCTCCTCCCCTTCAGTCTTGTACAGGTGTACCGGCTCCTCCCCTTCAGTCTTGTACAGGTGTACCGGCTCCTCCCCTTCAGTCTTGTACAGGTGTACCGGCTCCTCCCCTCCAGTCTTGCACAGGTGTACCAACTCCTCCCCTGCAGTCTTGCACAGGTGTAGCGGCTCCTCCCCTTCAGTCTTGCACAGGTGTAGCGGCTCCTCCCCTTCAGTCTTGCATAGGTGTACCGGCTCCTCCCCTTCAGTCTTGCATAGGTGTACCGGCTCCTCCCCTCCAGTCTTGCACAGGTGTAGCGGCTCCTCCCCTTCAGTCTTGCACAGGTGTAGCGGCTCCTCCCCTTCAGTCTTGCATAGGTGTATCGGCTCCTTCCCTCCATTCTTGCACAGGTGTACTGGCTCCTCCCCTCCAGTCTTGCACAGGTGTATCGGCTCCTCCCTTCAGTCTTGCACAGGTGTACCGGCTCCTCCCCATCAGTCTTGCACAGCTGTATCGGCGCCTCCCCTTCAGTCTTGCACAGGTGTACTGGCTCCTCCCCTTCAGTCTTGCACAGGTGTACTGGCTCCTCCCCTTCAGTCTTGCACAGCTGTATCGGCTCCTCCCCTTCAGTCTTGCACAGGTGTAGCGGCTCCTCCCCTTCAGTCTTGCACAGGTGTAGCGGCTCCTCCCCTTCAGTCTTGCACAGGTGTAGCGGTTCCTCCCCTTCAGTCTTGCACAGGTGTAGCGGCTCCTCCCCTTCAGTCTTGCACAGGTGTAGCGGCTCCTCCCCTTCAGTCTTGCACAGGTGTACTGGCTCCTCCCCTTCAGTCTTGCACAGGTGCACCGGCTCCTCCCCTGGACTGAATCGGCTTCCTCTGATCTCCCTGCACACTGGGAGCTCCTCACAATGTGCATTTAGAAGCTGCAGCCAATCAGATAGAGCTCCACCTCATTTCCTTGCCGGAGGACGTCCAGCATAATCTAGTCCTTACCTCCCCAGCCTGACTGACCCTGGCCCCACCCCTTCCATGTATTGGATTTCAGATCTTTCTGAATCACATGTGTGCATTACCTAGGGTGGTCTGTATGCAAATGCAACCCACCTAGGAACACCCCCTACTCCAGCCTGACAACCACCCATCAGGACATTTTGATATTACATAACTCCTCCCATGAGCCAGCCCACTGCTTATGGCTTATGGCACGGAAGCAGGGTGCTGTGATGATTTCAGGAAGCTATATACAGTGCCGTCTCCTCCCACCAGCCATGATCTACCTGCATTGCATAGAGAAGCACAGAGATCTGGTGATGACATCACTGGGTCAAAAAAAAGGTAAATATTCAAAATGAAAGGGTAATATTGCAAAATGTCATTAGCATGTTGGTGGGGAAGGCAAGCTGCTGTTTTCGGATGGAGTTGGAGTTTTGTTACAGGATAAAGCTAAATGATATACTTATTATAGGACTTTATGTGTTGTGTCATCTGTTAGGCCAACATCTTCACGGAGAGCGTGGTATTCAGAGTGGCCCCATGGATCATGACCCCGAACACGCAGAAGCCGATGGAAGTCTACGTCTCCAAGTAAAACCCGCTAAGTCTTCTCTTTCCCCGATATCTGAACTGCACCTTTATCTGCCTCAAACTGCTTTATTCTGAGTAGGGAGGAGTGCAGTGACTTGCTGAAATGGACTTGGCAGGGAAATCACTGACTTGGCCTTTAAAACGAACCTCAAATTTCACCATGTGGACATGTGACCACCTTGTCAGCACTGACAACCAAGGTATGCAGAATACCATCTCCGAACACACAATACGTCCAAACCTTGAAGAAGATGGACTACAGCAGCAAAGACCACTCCTCTCAGCTAAGAACAGGAAATGGAGGCTAGAATTCGCACAGGCTCACCAGATTTGGACCATAGAAGACTGGAAAAACGTTGCCTGGTCTTTTAATGGCCAAGTCAGCGATTGTAAAGGTTAGCATTAGGGTCAGAGTTAGTTCCTCAATATCTAATGACACGTCTCCAGGTAACAAGGTGTCGTTTTTTTGGCACAAGAACAGGTCAATGATAGTTTAAAAACTTCTGTAACCATCAAAGCCACATTTAATCCTAAATCCAGCCATTCCAATCCTGCCTCAAATTGTCTGGTCAGTATACACTCACCGGACACTTCATTAGGTCCACCTTGCTAGTGCCAAGAAAATCTCCCCCACACCTTGTCACCACTACCAGCCTGAACCATCGATACAAGGCAGAATGGACCCACCACACCATGACACCACCACCATCAGCCTGAACCATTGATACAAGGCAGGATGGACCCACCACACCATGACACCACCACCACCAACCTGAACCATTGATACAAGGCAGGATGGATCCACCACACCATGACACCACCACCCACTGAACCGGTGATACAAGGCAGGATGGATCCACCACACCATGACACCACCACCACCACCAGCCTGAACCATTGATACAAGGCAGGATGGATCCACCACACCATGACACCACCACCACTGAACCGGTTGATACAAGGCAGGATGGATCCACCACAGCATGACACCACCACCACTGAACCCGTGATACAAGGCAGGATGGATCCATCACACCATGACACCACCACCACCACCACTGATCTGGATGATACAAGGCAGGCTGGATCCACACACCATGACACCACCACCACCACCAGTGTGATCCGGTGATACAAGGCAGGATGAATCCACCACACTATGACACCACCACCACAAACCTGATCCGGTGATACAAAGGCAGGATGGATCCACCACACCATGACACCACCACCACAACCAGCCTGAACCATTGATACAAGGCAGGATGGATCCACCACACCATGACACCACCATCACCAGCCTGAACCATGGATACAAGGCAGGATGGATCCACCACACCATGACAACACAACCACCAGCCCGAACTGGTGATACAAGGCAGGATGGATCTACGCTTTCATGTTATTTACTCAAAATTCTGACCCTACCATCTGAATGTTTGCAGCTGAAATCCAGACTCATCAGACCAGGCAATGTTTTTCCAATCTTCTATGGTCCAATTCTGGTGAGGCCTGTGCAAATTGTGTAGCCTCCGTTTCCTGTTCTCAGCTGAACAGTGACAGAGTAGCACCCAGCACCCAGTGTATTCATGGTCTTTTTGCTGCTGTTAGCCCATCTTCTTCAAGTCTTGGATTGTTGTTCTGC